TGCCTCAAAGTCTTTTTGAGGAGGTAACATAGGTACTAAGGGAGAATACTATTTAATATCTAGTATTTCCTCTACCCCCTGCATTCTACCATCAGTTGACACAAGTTTTATACTGTGTGAGAAGGGTATAAATTATTCATATAAGTAAAAATTTAAAAACTAGTATCCTCAAAAATCTATTATTACTTAAGTAACATTACATTTTTATAGTACTTAGAGTTTGTGAAATCATTTAGTAAGAAGGCTTTGGGAATGGGACTTTTTGTATATTCATTTTATAGTAACTTATTTGAAAAGACTTCTGACTTTTTCATTTTTCATGATCATAGAAGTAAACATAATATTGATGAGAAAATACTGATAAATATATAATAAATTTCCTGAAATTAGTATCTGCATATTACCAGTTAGTTTTAGAAACTGTTAAGAATTTGCTGTATTAGGTTTTTATGTACAGTTGCCCCTTTGTATGGGGGGGGGGGTGGTGGTTCCAGTACACACCCTCCTGGAATTCCAAAATTCACAGATGCCTAAGTTCCTTGTATGAAATGGTGTGACATTTGTATGTCAACTATACATATCCTCACATCTCTAAATTACTTAGAATATCTGATAATATGTAAATAGTTATACCATATTTACAAGAAAAATAATTGCACATGTTCCGTGGAGATATTTTTCTTCAAATATTTTCTGTGGTTGCTGAACCCAAGTATAAAGAGCACCAATTGTACATAGGTTTTAATTTTTCTGAATCATATGAAGTAAGGATGACATTTCATCCTTTAATTCTTTCACATATAAACATTTATAAAACCATAATATAATATTATTATTACCTAGAGAACTTATTTTTCTTAATATTATATCATGTCCAGTCCACATTCAAATTTTCTTGGTAGTCCCCAAAATGTCTTTTTAGTATTTTCCTCCAAACCACTGTAGAAATGGTATTTTTATTTATTTTCATTTTTTGAATTTGCTTATTTTGTGGTATTGGAGATATGGAACTCCAGGGACACGTCATGCTGGTCATGTGCTCTACAACTGAGCTATAGCCTCACCCCCAAAATACATTTTAAAATTTGTTGTTTCCAGTTAAGATAATGATCTGTTCCTTATCAATACCACTATGTATACTTCTATAGCATTTTAGTGGTTGCATTATATTCTGAATTATGAATGATTCCTAATTTATTTAACTAGCTCCCTATGATCAAATCTTTAGGTTCTAATTTTTCATCTTAAACAGTACTTCCCCATACATAGTGGGTAATTAATAAGTCTTGAATGAATAAGCAAAGCTTAGCAACATGTAATATATGGAGTTCATGTTTATTTCCTTAAGAAAATTTCCAGAACTGGAATATAAAACTTAAGGCTTTTAACACTTATTGCCACATTGCCTTTTAGAAAGGCTGTTCTACATTTTTCACTGTGTTCAGTATATAATGCTTTACAGTATAATAGTACCTCAAGAAAAACCTTGGTAAATTAGTATTGTGGAAGAACATAAACCTGGGTATATCCAGTGTCATTGCTATATAGATGCCTCTCTGTACACCTATATCTGATTCCATATTTTGCAGGTGCTAGCTTGACTCCTCCAGATTGGAATGTCTTGTAGTGTTTTCACATAATCTGGAGTCTAGGTCCCTACTTGTCAGATTTCCTTATATATCTCGATGAGATTATTCTCATCAAGATACAGTCAGACCGTAAGCAGTGGCGCACGCCTGTAGTCCCAGTGGCTTGGGAGACTGAGGAAAGAGGATCATAATTTCAAGGCCTGCCTCAGCAACCTGCAAGGCCTTAAGCAACTTGCTGAGACCCAGTCTCAAAATAAAAAGGGGTGAGGGCTGGAGTTTTGGCTCAGTGGTATGATACTTGCCTCACGTGTGGAAGGCGCTAGGTTCGATCCTCAGCATCACATAAAAATAAAATGGGGGTATTGTGTCTATCGACAACTAAAAAGGTATTAAAAAAATAAAAAGGGATGAGGATGTGGTTCAATGGTAAAGCACCCTTGGGTTAAATTCCCAGTACCCCCCCCCCCCAAAAAAAAAAAAAGAGCATGCTGAGTGGTAGAGTGAGCATGGGAGAGGACCCAGGTTCAAACCCATCACCATGGGGGGAAAAAAACAGTCTGGAGAATGAAGACATTATTTGAAAACAGTTTTTTACATCAACAACTTTTTTTTCTTTTTTCCATTTTGTTTGTGTTTTTGCTTTTAAAAAGTAAAAGACTGCCTTCATGGATGAATTCAGATAAGAGCATATTGCCTTCTGACATTGCAACCATCGTAGTAAATACACTATTGCACATCAATGAAATCCCCCTGATGGCATATTTCTCATACCATAGCCCCAGTGTTAAGTGACACATGAATGTACAGAACTTGTGTCTATTTCTAAATGTGACACCAGGTGTTATCCATAAAAGTACAGAATAAGTGGTCTCTTTCTGTAAGAAAATTTAATTAAATACAGGGAAAGTTTAATTAAAAAACAAAGTTGCCTGAGAAAGGCAAAAGTGCAAAGAATGATCAGTTTTTTTTTCCTTTTTGACTGTGGTTTTTAGCTTTCTAACATGAGGTCAATTGGGAACTCTGTCTTGGGACAATTTGATTTGTTTCTGTGTTTTCATGCATAAATTTGGATGCCATAAACCAGTAGATGGGATTGAATTTCTTGCTTGTAAAACTTTGAAATTTAAGTGATGTTTTCTGGGTTGGGAATATAGCTCAGTGGTAGAGGGTTTGCCTAGCATGCACCCTGGGTTCAATTCCTCAGTACGACAAAAAAAAACAAACAAGCAGGAAAAAAAGAACTTTTCTAAGCTCATCTTTTTCTCTTTCCTTTTCAGCTGTTTGTAAATATGACGTTTCCTATTTTTAAAAGTCAAACAATAAATAGTTCACTTAACAATTAGTCCTCCCTCCAAATGGCAGTCCACTTTTATTTATATCAAGCTTCAGAAGTGTCTGTTAACAATTTGTATATATGATTTTATATCTGCTAGCATTTATATACCTTGCATATCCATGTATGAACTATATGCATTTTTATATGCTAGAACACATGGCTTGACTCCTCCTTTAATGGATGCATTGCACTCCAAAGTATGAATCCCTGTAATTTAATCATTCCCTTTTGTTGAGTCATACAATAATAGAGTTGTTCATAGATCAGAGTGTGACATCAATTTAAATTTTTACAGGTACTTGAAAAATGACCCTTAAAAAGGATTGTATTGAATTGACATTCCCACTGACAATGTCTCTGAGTGCCCTATTCTCCACCTTTACCTGCCAAAGCAGGATATTTTTTTATCTTTTTAAATTTATCCAGTCTGGTAAGTGGGAAATAGCACCTCCTTGCCTTGTTTTCATTAGCATATTTTTTTAACTTCTAGTGAGGGTGAGCAAATGTTTATACCTGCAGTTTGCAAATTCATGCCCCTTCACTTGGTTTTCAGTTGGATTATTTGTCTGGGTTTGGGGAATCATTTACATTAGAAACAACCTTTCTTTATCCTTTTGCAAAATTTTTTTTGTGTTTATGATTTGAAATTTTTGTGTAGTCAGATCTTATTTTTTAATGATTTCTCTATTGCATGGCTTTTCTTGGAAGGTTCTTTCCCTGCCAAGATTATAAGAATATTTTCCTGTATTGTCTTCTAATACTTTTCAGATTTGACTTTTTCTGTTTAAGTACTGTTGAAAACTAGTTATGTACTGTTATTTTGGTCCAAATGGTCACCTATTGACTCCTATTTTTTTTTTGAGAGAGAGAGACAGAGAAAATTTTTAATATTTCTTTCTTTTTTTAGTTTTCGGCGGACACAACATCTTTGTCTGTATATGGTGCTGAGGATCGAACCCGGGCCACACGCATGCCAGGCGAGCGTGATGCCGCTTGAGCCACATCCCCAGCCCCAAACTCCTATTTTTTATTCTGGGAAGGACTGGTCAAATATACTACACTTAAAAATGAATTATGGAAAAGTGTAATTTTTTTAAGGTTTGGAATTTGTGCTAGGTAGAAAACTTGCTTATTTTTTAGCTTCTTCGTTTTTGAGAATAAGTCAGATTGTTTATGTTTAATACTCAACATTTGTTTGGATTGAAAGCTAAGATTATATAGATACCATTTTAAGGGATCTTAATTATTGTTTCTACTTGATTATTGGTGAGAATTATAGTATCTTTGCATACTGCAAGCTCCTTTTATGTAATATAAATATTTTAAAGTGACAGATTGGTCACATTGCATAGTTTATTTAAAAGATATGAAACATGGGCTGGGGTTGTGGCTCAGTGGTACAGTGCTCACCTAGCATGTGTAAGGCCCTGGGTTTGATCCTCAGCAACACATAAAGATAATAAATAAATGTATTGTTTACACCTACAACTAAAAAAAGAATATTTTTAAAAATGTGAAATACCTAGGTGCTAGGCTATGCATGGTGCTCTTCAATTAGTAACACAAAACCGTTTTGTCTATACTGTATATTGGGGTGTATACTTATTTATTTATTTTTGGTACTGGGAATTGAACTCATAGACACTTCACCCCTGAGCTATATCCCCAGTCCTTTATTGTTTTTTTGTTTGTTTGTTTGTTTTTTATAATTTTGAGACAGGGTCTTGCTAAGTTGCTAAGGCTGGCCTTAATGATTCTCCCATCTCAGCCACCCTTGTTACTGGGATGAATAGGCATATGCCACAATGCCTGGCAGGGTGTTTAATTTTAAAGTCTTTGTTCTTCAAATTTCTCATCAATGAACTAATTTGATCCTCATAACAATCCTGTGAAGTTGGAATTATTTTGATAAAAATGAAGAGTTTGCTGCCTCATTAATAATTACTAAAACTAATTTGCTCTTTTAAACAATGCAAAAGAATTTTTTCCTTCCATATTCATTTGTACCAGCCCAAAATAGTTGATCTGGTTCATATTTTTTATTGTCACATGGCCTACACATTATTTTTTTATTTAAAAATATGGAACACTTCACGAATTTGTATGTCATCCTTGCTCAGGGTCCACGCTAATCTCTGTGTTGTTCGAAGTTTAGTATACGTGCTACTGATGGGAGCACAAAGCCTACACATTATTTAGTAGGCAATATTTACCTTTGCAGAAATGTAATTTGAAGATGAGACTGCAGCCACCCAATCTCATTGTTTTCAGTTGAACTTTTTAGTTAATATCAGTGCTTAACAGTCTGGAGATTCACATATGCCATGTCTTTATATGTGGTAAATTTGTAGAAAGGTTGAAAAAAAAAGTTCTTTTTTTGCTTTTGATTAGATCTGTATGTATTTATATCTATAGAATATCTGGCAAAGAGGGCTGGGGTTGTGGCTCAGTGGTGGAGCGCTTGCCTCGCATGTGTGACGCCCTGGGTTCGATCCTCAGCACCACATAAAAATAAATAAATAAAATAAAGGTATTGTGTCCAACTACAACTAAAAAATAATAAAGAATATCTAGCAAAGTTGCTACCTTTAGATTAATGTGGAGCTGAATGGAACAGAACAAGGAACAATATGGCTTATTCTTTGCCAGGCACAATCCTATGACATAAACTGTGTTATTTTACAGAAGTGACTGAGTTAGGAACAGTAATTTGTCTGAGAATATACAGCTAGAACATGGAATTTAAGCCCAGGTCTGTTTGCTTCCCAGGCATTTCCATCATGCTGTTGTCCTCTGCTTCACTTTTTTTCTAGTAGTGTTCCTCACTTTCTGCCTTTAATTTATTAAAAAAAATCCATGTGGATGGAAGCAAATCACTGAAATTACAGAGAAAAAAAATCACTGAAAGTTCTCCTTCCATATATCCATATAGATAAAACTTTTGTTAGAATCCATGTAAAGTCTAGATTTAGAAATCTAATTTCATCCAGCTGTTGTTTGGTGTTATATAAGAGCTGTGCTTCTTATCCACCTTTTTTCAATACAGGACTAGAGGACTTAATCTAGGCATACAGATTCTCCCATTATATATAGGACGCTTGATCTTTAGAGATGCTACTTGTTTCTCTGTAAACTTAAGAACATAAGAGAATTGGAGCTAAATATTGCAAAAGGTTTAGAATTCTGTTTCTTTGGTACCCGGTATTTTCTTTATTGTATTTAATAGTAGCTTATCGTGTAGCTTTTGGGAACATACCTTATACCTGTTCTTCACAAATCAAAGGGATATAACAAGTGAAAACATTGTAATGGCTAAGCATACATACAGTGTCTTAGCTGTCTTTCAGGTGTTTCAAGTCATGGATCCTTAGTCAATGAAACTATTGACCATCTTCACGGAAAAATATGCATGCAAAATTATCCATATAATTTCAGGGTTTTGGTAGCAGTCCTACAATAAAAGATGATGAATTCTAAAGATTTCCCTACACTTATTTTTTTTCTGTGTCATTAAGAGTATGTCCAGATTGATTTGTTGTGTGTTCTTATATTTCCTAGTAGATATTTTTCTATACTTCGGCCCAAGGTGAAAGCTGGGCTTATTGTTTTGCTAAAGGTATGCTCTGCTTTATGCAAATATCATCTATAAAAATTCAGTCTTTGGTGCCTGAGTTGGAATCCTGGGTCTCATGCATGCTAGGCAAGTGCTCTCCCACTGAGCTACACTCCCAATACCCCAAACATTTCCCCAGCTTTTTAATTGGTGGATTAGAGTTGTACATAATGATGGGATTTGTTGTTACATATTAGTACATTCACACAATAGGCAATATAATTTGGCCATTATTACTCCCCAGCACTTCCCCTTTCTTCCCACCTCCTAGCCCTTTTTCTACTGATTTCCCTGAGATCTATACCCACCTTTATTTTCCTCTATAGTTTCTGCATATGCACAAAAACATCCTTCCATTGACCTTCTGAGTTTGACTTATTTTGCCTAACATAATGGTCTTTATTTCCATCAATTTTCCTGCAAATGCCATAATTTCATTTTCCTTTGTGGCTGAAAAATATTCATTGTGTATATATACCACATTTTATTTTTAAATTTTAGTTATAGGTGGACACAATATCTTTATTTTTATGCAGTGCTGAGGATCAAACCCAGAGCCTTATGCGTGCTAGGTGAGCCCTCTACCTCTTAGCCACAACCCTAGCCCCAGTACCTTAATTTTATTTACTTTATATACCACGTTTTTAAAATCCATTTATGGACATCTAGGTTGGTTCCATAGTTTGGCTATTGAAAATTGCAGCACCCCAAAATATTAAAAGGCAAGAGAATCATGGTTTGTGTTGGGATAGGGTTTATCTTATTACTGTATCAGTCTTATGATTTGTGTTTTCAGTTTTGGCCACTAGAAGAAAGATGCAATTTCTTCATGTTTTGTATACTAATTTTGTTCCTTTGTAGTACTGTTGTCTTTAGTCAACCATTTCCCCTTATTTTCTACATTTCTATATACCTGGTTATCTCATAGTACCTATCAATGTCCTGCATATAATATTTTCGTAACTATTGAGTGGAAAAATGAGGATTAAATAAATATTGTAAGTTGATTTCTTCAGTTGAAAATTTCACCAAGAGAGTTTAATGTGACTAGGATTTTTTTTTAGCTTTGTTTTACATTTACTAGCTATTCATTTTTTTTTAATTGACAGTACCTCTGCTGGTGACAGGAAATATAAAGGCAGATATGACATGAGTTCCCCTTGAGTAAAATTCAGACTAGTAGGGAGACTGTCAGGTAAAAAGTTGTGTTGATTGAGGTTGTATTTGCAGGATACCATGGATGCACTATCGAGGGGGTCAGTTATACTCTGGGGGAGAGAAAAATCTCAAAAGGCCCCAGAGAAGAGAGGTGTCTTAAGTTAAACTTAAGGGATATCCAGGGTGCAGCCATTTTAGCAGAGAGCAGTGAGTCAAGGTATCAACTCTTGAGTGTTTGGAAAACTAAAAGGCTTGACATGGCTAAAGCATGCAGGGAGTCCTACTGGAATATAATGTAATATGTTGCTGATAGAAAATAGGCAGGGAACTAAGTCCCATAAGTCTCAAATGCTGGTCTAGGTAAAGCGTTTGTATTTGGTTTAGGTAAATTTTGAGTTTTAGAAGGATTGCTCTAGCAGCAGTGTGGAGGATGGGAATGGAAAGATCTGACAGGATAAAGTTAATTTAAAATTTCTTTCATATGCAAAATTGCCCAACATATCCCAGAATAGAAAACAGTATAATGAATGCCCATGTAGCTGTCACCTGAGTTCAACAGTCATTTGGAAACAATTATTTTGAAACAAATTCCTAATGCATTCACTCTCAAGGCTGGCCTGTGTAGACAAATAAACTGTACAGCTTGAAAATAAAAATCCCTACCTCAGAACTGAGTTAGATATTTGTTTTACCAGGCATTTTTATTTTTCAAAATAAGTTTCAGGTGAAGTGATCTTTTTTAAGTAACTTGAATGCTGACAGATGAAGATGTTTTCCTGAAGTCACTGAATGCTGACTATGGCCTTTTGGGTCCAATTTACCTGTTAGAATGGCGCTAGCTTTTCTGTGGGATTTTGACATTTGAGTAGAGTATTGGTTTAAAGCTGATTTCTTAATTTTCTGTTAGAAATGGGGAAGGCGGAGAAAGCATTTGTATCTTTGAAACAGATGTGATAAGATAAAAAATACCAGTCAATGTTATAATTGCTCTTTTACACCAAGTCTGGCCACAAATAACGAGCAGTATTGGAAACAGATTCTTAAAGGGACTGTTTTGGAACATCAATTTAAAGTTTTGTAAACAGGAATTTTTCCTTTCCTCCATCATACACATAATTTAAAACTTGGGCATTGCTGTTTTTATTTTTTGTTGAGAATGCTAAGAAGGACTTCTTAGCATTAGGATAGGGAGACTGGTGTCTATAGGAGAGGAGGGTGTAGGGTTGGCTGTGTAAATAGATATTATGTGCACTGTAGAGTTGTGAGACAAATTCTCTCTCCTGACAGACTGATAATCTACAACGTTGGTGAGCCCTATTCTGTTGCCTAGTTGTTTTGATACCAGTTTCTTTAAAGTAATTGGGAGTAAATGGCCAGAAGGATAATTCCCGCATTTGTAGCAGTTTTCCAGGACTATAGAGTAGAGGATATGGCTGGGATATGTTCTCAGTTAACATTCTCACCTCCAAAGTCAATGTTGAAAATTTCTGATTCTACTTTGTCGGTTTCCCTTCCCATATTTTCTTTGCATGATAATACTGCAGTGCAAAGAACCCTGAGCAAGCATGCACACTTAATCTGAGGTGTTCAGATTCTAAATGAGAGATTGTCATAGTATTTCTGCAGATAATTTCCAGATTTGTCTTGGGTGAGTCAAGGTTATTCTAATGTTGCTTTTTTTTTTTGAGAGAGAGAGAATTTTTAAATTTTTTTTTCTTTTAGTTCTTGGCGGACACAACATCTTTTTTTTTTTTTGTATGTGGTGCTGAGGATTGAACCCAGGCTGCACGCATGCCAGGCGAGCGTGTTACCGCTTGAGCCACATCCCCAGCCCCTCTAATGTTGCTTTATCATTACATCTTGCTGTCAGTTCCCAATAAAAACTAGGTCAGCAATCCTCAGGGCACCAATGAGAGTCATGTTTTATGTATCTGAGGATAGGGAGACTGGTGTCTATAGGAGAGGGGGGTGTAGGGTTGGCTGTGTAAATAGATATTATGTGCACTGTAGAGTTGTGGGACAAATTTGTGTTTTTTAAACACAGTTCTTCCATTTAACTAGCTGTGTGGCCACTTTTGGCCTCAGTGAAGTAGGTACAGTCTTCATTTCCATGTTAAAATGATTAGAGACAATGCATGGTAGGTATAGAATAAAGTTACCTGTTGCTATGATCATAAATGGTTCTCAAAATATTTGCTGACTGGATATTAATGTAGGTGATTATAATGTCTTTGTCTCTTTCTGATATAATGGATGGTCGGGACAGCTCCCACCTGAGTGTACATTTGGAGACTACAAGAGGCAAAGGGAATCATTGCAAGACCAAAAAAAAAAATCAAGTATTTTGCTATGTGGGACATTGGAGTTTAATGTCCTCTAAGTGTTTTTTTTTTTTTTTTTGAAAAGTC